AAATAAAAAATTTATATCTTTATGTTTGAAGCCTGAAATGTGGCAAAAGGTTGAAAAGTTCAAGGGGGCCGAATACTTTCGCAAGGCACTGTATATATCATAATTAAGTTTAACTGAGCCAACAAGTGTCCATGGAGTGCCAAATTATTTCTAATGTTATATATAAACAAAAATATTTAAAAGCAAGCAGTTTTAGCATTCAAATGCACAAAAGTCTAAGGGTGTGACCTTTCCTGTCAAATCGGCTTTTTGCATGTCACAGTAATGCACATTTATTTGTGGGTGACCAGATGTATGTTGCAAAACAAAGACATATTGTTTTATAAACCTAGCACAGAGCACACAAAACTAATTTACAATGATTTATTTTCTTCTTAATTTAAGGGATATCAATTTCAAACTCCAGAAATGTAATAATGGTTTGATCAATCATTCCAGAGATCAGAGGCATTTCTACGATTGTATATTTGAGAAGTCCCTGAGTGAACATGTACTGAGGATGTAATACCCACAATGCCGTGGTAAGTCAGCCCCTTCAAAAGATAGGGCTATCTTGGAAACAAACTATTTAAAGTTCTTGTCATTATTTAAGACTACAGTTCCAAAAAATTATTTTAATTAAATAAAACTATGGTATTCTGTATCACCGCAACACCTTTTTTCCACAAATTGTCACCTCTGGAAAATCATATTGCAACACAAACAAAGTGATCATGAGAAGTGTCATGCTGTTGTGTGACCTTTTACCTTTGACCAGGAGAGGTCAAGCAGGTCTGCAGTGTGCCCCTTGTATTTGCAGAATGGGAGTTGCCTGAAGGGAACGTTCTTATCTTCAAGATCTGGATCCTCAGGGGTGCTGTTAACCTAGGTTTCAATACAAGCAGGCTAAGATTAATTCTCTTATATTCACTCATATCTTTTAATATGATCATAATGCACTTGGAAAGGAAAAAAGAGCAAGAGAATTTTATGCCTTTACAACCATCTATACATATATAACATCTTACAGGCAAGACTACTTACTATTCGTGTATTCCAACTACTTCATTTAATGTCTTTTTAAATTATTGCCGATAAAGCTTTGCTATTAGGAAAATTATTTTACATCTTGTTTTATACTACCAACTTCAATTCAGACAGCAATTTACCAAACATTTAAATAGCAACACATGCACACATACACTCACAGGCCAAAATATTAGATACACTCTAGACTGTATTGGTGTCAGTTATATGAATACTCTAAGGGGTAAGCCAAAGAAAAGGTATAGTAGGAAAGAATAGTTAACTACTGTGCTTTTATTCTCCGACACAAGCCATAGCTGTCCTTGTTGTCTTAGATCTACACACAGCTTTCAACACCAGTGATCAGGGAGAAATAGACTTCCAGAAAGAACAGAACAGGACAGGACAGATCTGATCCTACTGAAAATTAGAAGAATGTGCAGTTTAGTCCCATACCCACTATCCTCATTACAACCTCAACTGAAGGTGATCCTGCTGAGAAGATAGGAGTGAATTGGTCCGTGCTCAAGTCCAATAAGTTCTTGTGGACAGAGGGTCTAACATTTTGAATATACTGTAAATGCACTTAACTTACTCCAGTTTCTGTATCTGATTTTGAAGAACTTAAGCTTTCTTGAGATGGCGAAGGAGACACACGACCTAAGAAAGAGCAAAGTGGAAGATCATTTGTTTAATTCATAAAATGTTTTTAGTGAAAGGGTAACTGAGAAAAAAAAATTCCCTCAGAATTCAGTCAACGAACTGATAGGAAGCTGTGGAGTTTCTTGATTTTCAGTTTGACCTAAAGGCATCACACACTCCCTCTTTTCTTTCTCCCCTGTCTCAAGATGGACAATTTTCACTCGATATGTTTGTATCCGCCACTGCACAGCCTTGCAAAACTCTCCACATTTAATCATTTGTCTTTTCTAGACAGTCAGAAAAATGTGCACAAATTATGTTCTCCTCACTGCCTAAAATCAATGTAGTTCTCTAAATCCATGTTTCTCAACTCCCAGTTCAGCAGATCAATACAGGTCCCTGCTGAGTTCTTCAAGACCGAGCCAAAGAGGCAGGGTATTTAAGCTTTTTTTTTCTTCTACGGTTACATTTGTAGCCCATGATTTAGACTTAATAGGGCCAGAGCTAGGTCTGGTTTATGCTTAAACTAGAATTAAAAATGCAATTAGGAACTGGAGAAGAACTAATAAAAACTGTTTTTTTCTTTTGGAACTAAAGATGTACAGTAATAGCACGAGAATTATCAAAAACCACTCTTTTATGAAGGCATGTTGAGTGGAACATGAATCCGTCATTCACCAGGTAAACTCTATTACTTGCAGTGGTTTAACTGCCTTTACCAAGAGCCAGGCCTCCCTGACAACCAATCAATTCAATCACTCCATCAGTCAATAAGCTTCTCAGTCAGTCCCCAGGTAAGTCAAAAAACCCATTGCAGATTTAGCCCACAGCTGTTATCATTCAAGGTTTTCTTTTATCTGGGGAAAATGCTTGCTCTGATATTTCAGACTATTTTAAGGGGAGAAGGCATCAGGGTTTCTACTTCTTATCTTGCACCAATTTCTTATCTTATCAAAATGGCATACAAGTAAGGGAATTGGAAAGGGGTGGGGGGCAGTTGGGGTCTCTTCCTTTTTTTGATGAGGGTTCCTGCTGCTATTTGTTGATAAATGGACATCACTAACTGCCCTCTCCCACTCAGTCTTGGCTGCTTGGCTGGTCTTTTGACCTTCTCCTCCAGACTGTTTCCCCAGCCTCCAAGGCTGTTTATTCTCGACTGCGGCCCCCACGGTGATGGGGTGATTTGCCCACTGACATCAGAACTGCTCAGTCCCCGACCAGCTTTCAGGGTGTCTTCTAGACTTTCAGGTTTAAGCAGCTCTCTCAGATCTCTCTCACACAGTCTCACAACTTTTACCACCAGCTGACTCGGCACTCTGCTCACTGTTATTCCTTCTTTACCGGAGTCAATGATTCCTTCCCTACATCCTGTTCACCGCTCAGTGGACACCATCATCACTCCCCTCTGAACAGGCACTGCACTTCTAACATTCCTGCAGTCATGTTTGTTTTATGTGTCTGAATGATTGTTTTTTATATATTATTGTCTACTAAGTAAGTTGCCATGGGAGGCACAGTGGCACAGTGATTAGCATTGCTGCCTCGCAGCGCTGGGGCCCTGGGTTCAATTTTGTTTATGTGGGTTTCCTCTAGGTGTTCCGGTTTCCTCCCACAGTCCAAAGACATACTAATAAGTTAACTGTCTTCTGGGAAAATTAGCCCTGGTGTGAGTGTGACTGTCTTTGTGTACGTTTTGCCCTACAATGGATTGGCGTCCTGCCTTGTGCCTACTGCTTGCCAGGATAGGCGCCAGCTCCCCCATGACCCTTGAATGGGAAAAAGCGTTTAGACAATGGATGGATTCAAGCAGCCCTGGAGAAGGATGTTACCTAAACAAATTAATAATAATATTTCACTTAAGTTACCTTCAGTGTTGTACTTTATCCTCATGTTGTTGAAGTAGTCAAAGGCGTTTTTTAGTACCCATATTCGGACAACATTATCCTGTCCAGCGGTTGCTAATAATCTACCACAGTGAGAAAACTTCATTGTCCACACAGCACCCTAAAAATACAACACAAGCACATTAAAATTGGAGAATAATTAACCCATACATTTAAACTAAAAACTATAGGATTTAGCAAAGACGATATTTCAGGATTTGCTTTAACACACCTTGAGAAATGGGAAATCTACTTAAAAAAACAAGATGCCTCTAAAAATCTGAATTTCAGATAGGACAAAAACAAAAGCAAAAATGGGAATAGTAAAACAAAAAAGAAACCATAAAAAACTAAATAAAAGAATAATTATTTTAAACCTCCAGCTGTACACTCAAGCTATATCAAGAGAACAGACAGAAAATACAATCATCAGAATGCTATTCACCAATTTATGAATTCCTCACTAATTTGTTAAAAACTGATCTGCCAGTTAAATTTAAATAATGTTCAGGCTTTGACGTTTGCAGAAATAACACTCTGACCTACATTATCAATTTGACAGAATTCTTAACAATCTTAATTTGGATGAATGGGTGTTTTATATACATAGAAGAGATACTGTACTTTAAAATCAGTATTGTTTACAAATCCAATACTACACTTAAAAAATAGAGGATTCTGTCCATGCTTATGCTAATTACATTATATTAATCCAGTATAACAAGCTTCAAGCAGGTGGTGCATTATTGACTAAAGCACCTTTGCTTCCTTCCAAAAAGAGACAATGAAAGTGTGATATAACCACTAAAAGTAAAATAAACTGCTGTTGAAAAAAACTTTTCAATTTTTCAGTCATAGAGCTTAAAAGCCTATTTTTCTATGGGCTTCCTGAAACTCTGAATCCTAGGGGAGAAAACAGTGCTTTACAGATACCAATCAAATCCAAGGAAAAGTGCAAAAGTGCAGTGCAAGCTTTAAGAGAAGCATAGCCAGCAGGATGGCATAAAATTCCATTACATTCCCATCAAGATACAGTTCCCATTGGGAATCCTTCCTGAAAAAAATATCTAATACACCAGATCTTTCCAACCCTCAATTTGAGCCTACTTTCTAGTTTATTTTAGTTAAGAAACTTTGCTTTTGCTTCATATTTCTTTTTTAAAACACATCACGACTGAACATTTACTGCACCTCATACCAAGTATCTAGTCAACCCTGTCAAGAGTTAAGATGTGTATATCTTCATAACTGCTGAAATAAACCATATTTGTATTACAGAAAATTACATACAACAGAACTATATTCTGGGTAGAGTATTTTAGCCAAATGTTTCACAAGTGAACTTGTAACCTGTTACCTTGCAACGCACTGTCGCTATAAAAGACCTGAATTGACAGAGAACCCAGGACATAAAGGAGAAAATGAAATGCTTTCATCTGACAGGTCACCTAGAGGTGCTTACCATGTGCTCTCCACTCAAATCCTGGACAACTTTGATTTGGTCAAAGTCAAAGGGGCCTTTGAACCCATGAGCAGCCTTGAATTTGACAGGCCTGGTGTAGGGCATTCCCTCATCATCACTAGAGGAAGGGTCATCCTGGTCAGTGTGGAACACTGCAAAAAAACATGAAATACAGCTCACAGCAGGGGTACAGCTAGTTATTTGTCTGTTACACGCATGCACAGAGAAACAGATGCACACGAAACACTGTCTTTTTCAGACAGGCACTGAACTCACTTTTCTGTCTCACTGTCATACAGGTCACGCTCACAGCATACTGTTACTTCCTCTGTGCTGAGGGAACTTCAAATCTTTCAGTTCTTGAGTGACAGTTTCCACTGCATTTTTTCCCCCAAAGAGGGTTTTATCCATTAAAATGTGTATACTGGTACTTCTCAGTAGCAAACAACAAATAAACTAGGTTGTATTATCTTGTCTCCAAGAAAGCCTAATGTCAATTTACATAGACACTATTTACAGAGCAAGAACTAAAAATGAGCAGCTGGCCTTGAGTCCCTCAGCCCCTTTTGTGAAAGAGAGGGCTGTGGGCTATGGATCTGTGGGTCCCGATTCCTGAGTTGGATAATAAACAGCAATGTCTGAGGACCACCTTAAATCTGCTTTATGGAAAAGAAGATGCAAACAGGATCCCCTTATATATTGATTCACTGCAGTATTGCCAATGCAGGGAGATCGGCTTGAGTTTATTCATAAGCTTGAACTGCAACAGCTCATACCATACCTTCATCCCGCACACTCTTCACCTTATTGACTGCCCTCTCACCATACTCTTCAGCCAGGTGTTTAGCTCTCTTCACAGACTTGCCCAAAAACTTCTTTAGCTGGGTACTAGAAGTGTAACATGTAGGAAAAACAAACCATAACCTTAGAACTATAAAAAGAGAAGAGCATTTGCCAAAGTATCACACATCTCAATTGAAGCATTGAAAATTATATTTTTTTCTAACAAGCAGTAAATAAAAATTGCCTATCTTCTGTGCAGTTTGCAAGGTTTATTAATAGTGATCAGGTTTCCTCGGAGACGTATAATATTATAAAATTCTGGAAAAGTAAGTGTTTTAGGCATTAATCGCCTGATCACAAGTGATACTTCTGTTTTTTACTCTAAAAGACTCGCAACCTAAGATTCTCGTGAATGAAGTTTATGTTAAACGCTCTTACGTTTTCTGTTTTAGCTTCCCACCATCATTGTCTGTTAAGTGGCTCTGTGATTTATCTTCATCATCTGACTGAGCTGCGTCATTGCTATAACAAAAAACAGACAGAGTGAACAGTGCCAATGAATTTTCATACAAAAAAATTGCAGGGTGCATAATCAGTTTGCATGACTCCCAGAATGTCAGCTGAGAGGATCTTGCTAGCACTCAGCATCTGACTGGACAAATTTGCACTGAGCTAGTTTTTTGTTTTTTCAAAATGTAGAAAGGTCATTGTTTAATGGCAGAATCATGAATGAATAAGCTGTTGACATCCTGAATGTTATGAGATGTTCTATGAAAGAAAATGTGTTAAATCCTTACTGAAAAATGAAAATCATCATTAACAATAGTGGTCTTTAATTTGACAATCCAGTGCTCTGTATGGGTAAAATTAAGTATTGGGTGATATTCTACACCTAGAGTACAAATCAGAAGGTCTTACTTATAAAGTAATGGGAATTTTGCTTTCAGTTTACAAGTTTTCACCTTACAATTTTCCAACAACAAGCTACACTCAATCAACAGATGGGTGTAGCACCACAGATTCTTGTTTTAGCACCTTGTAAAGACATACCATTCAAGATTCATGAAGATGCCAGATTTTTCCATTTTTACAAAGTTATAATTGCCGCTGTTTACGTCGTTACACCTATTTGGAATTGCCAATGGTATGGTCTTCTCAGTTCATAGCAAGCAACCCTACAACTGGGAGAAGGAGGAATTGTGGACATACAGTACTCCTCCAACACATGCACTTTTGTAGTGCTTGTCTTTTAACACTTCATAGACAGTGCAGCCCAGTTACAGGAGTTTCAGCGATGGCTTGAGAAAAGGCACATCTCTCACCAACAGAAGCCATATCTACCGTACAAGCCATGTGTCGCTGTGCTTGCCTTTTGGCATGAGAGTCACAGTCGGCTAGTGATGTGATCTAGGCTCAAATCCAAGTGCTTCTACTGGTTGAGCCCCTCAGGGCTCATTTTTAGCTGTAACGTAACTGCTAATATATCTTTGACTGGAGCAGGCTAACATACTTTTAAATTCCCTCAAAAATTTAAAAATTGGATGAGTACAGATTATTCTTGCAAGTATTTTTTGGATAAATTTCCTAACCTTTCCCCATCTGTTGAAAATTATTTTATCTGAAAATGTCTTTGTCCTTATTTCCAGGCTTTAATGCCCATACAAAAATAAATCCAAGAAAAGAATCACCTGCGAGATGGTTTGAAAGCTAAAATTTGACGTTCTCCATCAATAAATGTTGTGCTGTAGAGAGTTCATGAAGAAACCAAATTAAATATCTTATTCTGCAAAAATGTGATTAAAACGTGCTCCATGAACATCTGTTCAAACATAATAAATACAGATTCTATAAGAAGATTCTGAAAGTTTATGGAAAAAAATGGTAACTAAATAGATTGTCCCTATAAAATTCAATTTTGAAGATGTGTCTGCAAATCTGCTGCTATGATCTCACATGTGACCCAAGTTGACCACATTTCCCATGGCCAGAAGAACCTGCAGCCCTTCTGGAAAACTGTTTGAAAGCCCCGCAGGAAAACATGTGGAGAATTCTGATGCAGCTGCCAGATTTTCAGGAGTCCTTACGTGACATATTCTTTGGTTCTTCTCATGATGTGCAGCGTGAGGGGGTTGATACCAGTTGGCAGCTTCTCCTCTGCTAAGCTCAGTGGGATTTCCTCTCCAGTGTCCAGGTTTTTAATCATTACACTTGCTAAAATTTCCTAAAAAAAACACTGGAGAATGAGAGACCGTCCTCCATTCAGAAGCATTCAGTTATACCACTGAATCACGAAAGGTGTGAAAACGCTGATATTTAGGTAGTAAAAAATAGCTACACCAACTGGCTTTACAGTGCAACAAAATATGAATTACAAATTTTCTCAAAACTATGTCTCATTCTGACGACCAATTACCACAATTGTTTGCTATTTAGACGTGTTCTGCAGCAAATATTTTGAACATTTAAAAACATTTAGTAGTAATAATGCTTGCGTATAATTAAATAGGAATATACATGTGAAATGACCAACAAATATGATAAAACCTAAGATGTGCTTAAATAGATATTAACTCACATCCCAAGCGATGCCAATGAGTTCAGATTCTGATAAAATTGAAAGATTTTTAAAACCAGATACATCCATAAAATAAAAGCTTCTTCCACAGTTGCACACAAATTCATTGACAATTTATGTCTTTCTACAAAAAATATATTTCAAATAAAAGAGTGCTAATACACAGAATGTAATGCAGCTCACCAGACACCCCTGCAGAGTCAAACTCCACCGATGTGCGAGCAGAGTGTGCTGTTTCAGCAAACTGCATTTCCAAATGAGACACTTCCCTGCTGCAGAGACCTTACCTCGTCTGTTAGCTCGCGCCCTGAGTTTGACCGCGGCCTCTGGGGTCCTGGGGTTTCACTTCCAGCTGATGTGGACATCTGTCCATCTGCTGCCTTGCCATTTTCCTGAAAGAATTGAGAAAAGATGATGCCATCTTTGCCATTTTGGCTGTTGTCTGTCCTTTAAATTTCTATAGCACATGCACTACAAGTGTGAATCTGAAAAGGTTATATGAGAAATGTACCAGTTCAGACACCAATCATAAAACAAAGAGAAAATATTAATGTTTATATACTGTAATGCAACATGTGGTGGAAAGTGCTGAACCTTGCATCTTTGGTAACAGTGTGACTTCACAATAACAGGAGAAGGAAGAGTTTCCCAAGTACAAATTGCTACATGAAATTTATCTTACAATAAGGGGAAGATGGGAAACACTCAGCTGGGCGAAAATGCTTGTCTTTGCATTTATGTCTTCTTTAAGTTGATTTGGACAACCGAAAGAAAACAAACTGAAGGGATTGATGTTAAAATGTAGAAAGCCCTCATTTAAAACCCTCTGCACAATTGTGATCACTACGTTACAAAAAATATATTGCTTTTCTTCAATCTGTCTAGAGAAAAAATGCCAGATATCTTCCCAAGCTTAAAAGAATGCCCTTTACCTAGAGCTGACAAGAATTAGATCTTCTGAGCCTTGAACTGAAAAGACTATGAGGGGACACTATTCAAAACCCTGAAAAGCATTGATCAAGTCAACACTGTGGACTTCTATAGAATCACAATTGAAACCAGAGCATAGAAAAGGAAATAAAAGAGAAATGCATTTAAAAATTAAAACAGGGGGCACTTTTTCTACACAAAGGCTTGTGGGAGACTGAAACAAGATACCCATCAATGATAGCAAAGCTGATGCCCAAATATCTTTCAAGAAACAGCTGGATGAGAACTTCAGATTAGTAGCTACTACAGATGCAGCCATCTGTAGTAGCGGTACAAACCCGCGGTACGGTAACCTAGCCACAAGCCACCGCGGGGCACTGGAGGGCACCGCGGTAAGTGATTGGCTGGCCAAAATGACCGACAGGGGCACTCATGGTGCATTGGTTGGTAGTGAAAAGATTTAATAATTTAATGTCTTTACTGTGCACATTATAATCTGCTTAGGTTTGAATATTTATATGGAATTTTACCACTAAAGGGAAATTTTAGTAGCTGAGCATAAAAAGAAGAGGATCATAACACATCTGAAGGTCACAGACTATATTAATTTAGAAACATAAACATTACTGTATGTACGTAAACTGTACTGTGTATGGCTGGTCTTGGTAGTTTGAAGAAAAAATACACACCAGTCTTCCATTTCTCCCTAAACATTTTAAGCATGAAAGTTTTATGAAACGGTACCCAAATATGCGATTGCAGTATAGAATGAATTTTAATTAAAAAAAATATTTAAACATGAAAATTAAGCTGTTTACATCTTCTGCCTGAGAACAGTCACCTGTTGCTACCCAACGCAGAAACACAGCCACTAACTAGCAAAGAGAGGACATTAGCTATCCAATATGATAATGAAATAAATGATTATTTTGTTTATTTCTTTTGCACATTTATTTGATCATTTCCATCGATTGTACAAGCACTTGGAAACTGTCCAGTCCCTAGTTCATCAGGCATTTTGTTTTACGCTGCAGGCATTCTCCCAGTCTGGCGCCGGTCTGTGTCTTCTAGGATATAATGCCAGCGAACTCTTGTTTTAATGTCCACTATAACAGACAATCTCCTTTGCTTTTAACCGAGCGTTTAATAATTTCCTAAAATGAAAAT